ACTTTATTATGAAATCATGAATTAAAAGTTTAAGTATGAATGTCTAGAGTGTTAAACTAAGTTTAAAAATTGCATATGAATTTGAATTGGTGATTTTCATCTCAATAGCTTTCCATCAGTTTAAAACTATATGGATTCTTTTCTTCCAACCACCTAGTTTTGAACACTGAAGATAGATCCAAAGAATTTGGTTAGGAGAAAGGATAATGCACAGAAGGCAGGAACTCAGCATCTTTTCACTTCATCATCATTAACACATCACAAAACACTATGACATGTTGTCCTGCCAGATTTGAGGCTCAAAAGTAACCAGGTAAAACGTGTTTGATTCAGGAGGTCAGAGTCATAAGCATCCATTCCTTCCTGCAACTCTTTATTCTTATTTAGTCTGTCTTTTAATACCCACTGATTTCCTACTTTGAAGGAGACCTCACGCTTTAAGGCATAACACTAAACAAGACCCTTCAAAGCCTTGTCTTTATGGAAACTGTAAGGATGTACAATGACCAGTAAACGAATAAATTACAGCATGGTGGTTAAAGTGAACTGCTAAGTGGATCCATTGATGTAGGCCTGGTAGTAGGGAGGGGAAGATATAGGGAGATGATAATAGATACTATTTCATGAAGTAGCAAATAGCAAGTCTGATATGAGAAGAGAGGGTGCTTTGTTTTTAAATGGTATGTAGACTCAGTTGTGTCATGAAAATGCACCCTTAATGACAAAATCCACAAGTGTTCCAGATATTATTGATTATGACACAAATGCCTTTGCAGTTGAAATAGTTCTACAACGTGAAAGGCCTGGTTTCATACTGTTCTGTTACATTATAAATCTGTTTTATTGAATATTTTCCTTGTGGATTTATTCATTTTCTTCCCATCTTTTTTGAGACTGATTCTTTGTGGAGACAAAGTTGACTTTTAACTTGTATTCTCCTGCCTCAGCCTGAAAAATACAAAATTATAGGTGTGTAACACCAGCTTTAATGTTTTCTGTTCTCTCAACAAGGACCAATAGATTTATATGTGAAATGGATCTATTGGTGATAAATATGACTTGTCCATTACCATGAATATTAAATCATATGTATGTTATTTAGCAAAATGATTCTTTTTGATAAATTAAGTTATTAGATATAATGATGTCTGACCTCTATCTTGACAGTAGTAGTTAAATTTAATTTCAGGCTAAGCTCATGAGAATCTGAAAAACCAGGGGATTGCTTATTCCTAGTATTATGATAAACTTTACATTGTCCTCTGAGTCCTTGTTCTCCATTTGTAGTATTTTCCTTCTCAACATTTACCAAGCAATTCCCTATTGGTAGAGATAGTCATTCATTGATTTCTGACCTCCTAAAAGAGCATTCAGGAGGATTCACAATAAAAAATCTCAAGTCAATAATTCAGTCTTGCAAAAGAGATAA